TGTAGAAGAGAATTATTTACTGCTTGCAAACCAATGATGGTAAGATGATGTCATGGGGTAGGACTGGATAAGTCTGACTTCTTCCTACTCCATTCAAGCATGTACTAGGTATAAGCAAATTGATAATGGATTAGCATTTGTTGGATATGTGTAAAATTATGTGTGTTGACATATCAACTGTCTTTACATGCTTGAAAGAATAAATCAATCAATCAGATCATGAGTTTTACTATTCAGGAGTTAGTGCCTAAAACAATGAACATGAGCAGATGAGTAAATGCTGTGGCACTGTAGCACTGGGTTTATCATCACTAAACTAGAAAAATGCTGAAGCAGCTGGTTAAGTCGAGAGAGGCGGACAGGCAGTAGGCCAGAGTACATCCTGCCTGTAAAAAGGAAGTAGAAAGTGTTACAGAGGTCAGGCTACATTGTAGAGTAAGCCAAAAGTCATTCTTAAACTTCCAGCTTTTCAGATGAGCCTTGAACACTCTGCAATGTCTTGCTGCTGCACAGAAGTGCTATGATTTCACCGTGTCTGATGACAGAAAGTGAGAAAGGCTTCTCTGGCTATTTTGGTGGTTATCCTGGGACATCTGTGAAGGCTAGTGCAAAGAGTCACAGCACCTTTCCTAAATATGTTGAGGATTTTGTCTGCTGCTCACAACATAAGCAGGGTTTTAGACTAGGTTCTCTATATCTAATGCAATTTTCTGCATTGTGATTCTATAAAAATGACTGAATGTGTCAGTTGAAAACACTGATCTTTCCCTCTGAACTGTCAGGTTTTAACATTACTCAGTTTCCCACAGGGGATTTGTTTAAGGAGTTTTACTGTGGGGTGTGAGGGATGTTCCCTGCTTTAAATGCCAAGTCCAGTGAAAAGAACACTTGTGCAATTCACCACTAGAGGGACTAAGAGCACTGAGAATCACTCCATTATAAAGGCAATCCCCTACACAGTGTACTGCTATATATACTGTTACTGTGATTTGGACCAACTCAACCGTTTCAATTGTCTTTACATGACCTCTCAGATGCAGAGTTTTTCTTTCCCTCAAAGAATGGTATGGTGCTACACACTGTCAAGCAAGAGCACTGCCATTCCTGATGGCAGTGGGGGTGTCAGGTAGGAGCTGAACACTTTGTGGCACTTCTCTCTTGTTGACAATTTTTTTTGAGGATTAAATCAACAAGGTACATGAAAAAGACATATCCAACAGAAAACTTATGTTTGCCTGCTGCAGACAAACAAAAGTCTCTTCAGAGCTCCAGTATTTTGCTTAGTATTATACACATTTCAAATGTAAAACACACTTTGTCTGTAAAATGTAATGAAAGGTTGTCTATAAAATGTCATTTAAGAAGTATGTACCATGAGGCTCTACTCATTATAAGATAAGCAACTCTCTGTACTTGGTTAAAAAGTGCACCTGCTGGCTAAACCAGTTTACCAGGCACTGTCTCCATCTCCACTGACTAGCTGCCCCATCCCTGACATTACAGACAAAAAGCCACACCAGGCACCACATTAAATTTTGAGGATACAACAGTCTGGCTCAGTTACTTACATCAATGTGGCACTGAACCACGAGTGGAATGCACCCAGCTCTTACTCTTCATTCATAGACATCACATATGAGATCAAGTGAAATCACATTCAAATGCACGGTCATCTGGGCTCAAGCGGTAGGCCACAGACAGAGTGTTTGGTGTGTGTCTCTATTCTACTGACCCTGTTCTCATCATAGATGATCTGCACCAGGCTGCGGTGCTTGGCTTCACTGGGTGGTGGGGAGATGGGTTGCTCTGGCTCATGCGGCTTTGCAGCCTCCTGCTCCAGCTGTTGCTGTAACACACATACAAACAAAGATGACGGTTAACACTTAACAAATCCAAAAGAGCCTTGATGTTCCAGGAAGACCTGAGGCTTACCAGTTCCTGTTGCAAGGTTAGAGAGTGTGCGTTAGACCAACCGTCACCCTCCTAGCTATCAAGCAGGGATGAGGCTAACTGTCTTATTAGCTGTAACTGTAGCTATTAACTCCCCAGGGCTCAGTTAATCAAAGAGCTACCACAAAAGCCTGTAAACAAAGCCACTGCCTGCTGTGTGGCTGGAACATTCAATGAGAGAGAGAGGGACAGAATTAAGAAAGAGAGGGAGGGAGACAGACAAAAGAAAAATGAAGAGAGAAAAATGTGGGAAATTCACACCAGGCACAACACAGTCCCTCTATCTTATCACTCTGACTTGTAACCAACTATAATTTGGGGACTGTACTCCAGAAACAGTAAATTTTAGGAAATACAGTCTACTGTGAACAAAACACTGAGACACCTCCTACCCCCCCAAATACCTCTGGCTTTTTCTTTTTTTTCCCTTTGGTTGGTGGTGACAGCAACGAGCGGGGAGGTGATAAAGACAAAAAATTCTGTGTCTTATTAAATCACCAACAGAGTGGAACACTAAAGAGAAGAGCACATTCTTGCATCACTGACAGACTGGACAGTTATCAAAGACTGAAAAATCCAAGTGTAAATGCAACCAAGAAGTTTTAGAGCGGGACTGTTAACTGACTGCACATGTGGAAAAGATGTAAATGGACTAGTCATCATTAATCCACCCACACGTAACTATATCAATAATCAGCAGGTGGAAGCAGCAGCTTCCTTGCACAGGTGATTATTGCAAGAGATAATGAGACAAAACCTATTTAAACATTTAACTTATTTATACATTGCACAGAGAGCAGCAGATTTAACATATACAGTCATAAATAAGGGAATTCTGTAGCTTATGTGGCATTTATCATATAAGCAAAACCACAGTCTTGCCTATTATTTAGCAGTGCAACTCATCAGTGGGTCTGATTAGCTAGCTGGCTAAACTGTTTTAGCACAGGTTTACTCAGTTAAACTTTGGTTTTCCTCATGTTACACTCAAATCTTCCAAACAAAGCATATTAGGGCCTACCCACCTTCTAGTACATAAATAACAAGAACACTGATTTAATCTGTCTATAAAAGTATCAAAAGAAAATGGGACCTTGGTATATGAAATTGAAGCAATTTATCTTTCTAGTTGCATTAGAAAGACCATTAATTATGTCTAAAGAGTAAAACAAAAGGTCAGAATTCTGAGTAAAAGCTTTGCAAAAATATAATTCCACAGTCATTGTCTACTACTAATAATGGTGCATCAATTTTACACATTGTTTGACAAATCAAATGAAAATGGGACAAGATGTGGAGTCTCTCTGCTATCCAACATCCACTGACCCAAATTACATTAGTATAGAAACCTCAGGAGGGAAGTCATGGAAACAGATTTCCATTCAAGTGCATGTTAGGTGTGTTTTAACAGTCAGAGAGTTTGTTGTAGGTAGGCAACGTGTGTAAACACAGCTGTTACGTGTTCCCCCTTAGTAGATCAACAGACCTATTAAAGTTTTTTAATTTAGATAATGAGGAAAACAGATATAGTTTTCAAACACAACATTACAGAAAACTCATCACCTTTTCAAATGGTATTGTGCCTGGGCCATGCACTGAACCCAGCAGCTAATGCAGTGAGAGCTGCCTTGTACTGAAAACCCCTTCAGTCGGCTAAAGCTAGCTTTGGAATGGAGGCCATATTTTCTACAGTTTGTCACAACCAGGCTTCATTGTCGCTTTTAATACATAGTACTGTCTGATGCTTCCTTTTTATAACTGTTGATTCTGTGTAATTCGTGTGTTTGTGTTCATATGTTGTTTTATTCCTCTATTGATATTATTTATTTTAGTTCTAGCAAGTACCAACTGCTCATGGCCATCAAAATCTGCCTAGCACAAAAACCAAGTGCTCTGATTCTATCTACATATTCAATTCATGTTACGATCACAAATATTTAAATGTAATACTCATAGTCAACAATGATAGAGATGTTTTAAAGCTTCATCAAGAAAATGAAAAATGTCAGTCACCATCTATGTCAAGTCCATCATTAAAGATAATCGAAAATGCATTTCAGTCACCATCTACAGTGCCTTGCGAAAGTATTCGGCCCCCTTGAACTTTGCGACTTTTTGCCACATTTCAGGCTTCAAACATAAAGATATAAAACTGTAATTTTTTGTGAAGAATCAACAACAAGTGGGACACAATCATGAAGTGGAACGAAAATTATTGGATATTTCAAACTTTTTTAACAAATAAAAAACTGAAAAATTGGGCGTGCAAAATTATTCCGCCCCCTTAAGTTAATACTTTGTAGCGCCACCTTTTGCTGCGATTACAGCTGTAAGTTGCTTGGGGTATGTCTCTATCAGTTTTGCACATCGAGAGACTGAAATTTTTGCCCATTCCGCCTTGCAAAACAGCTCGAGCTCAGTGAGGTTGGATGGAGAGCGTTTGTGAACAGCAGTTTTCAGTTCTTTCCACAGATTCACGATTGGATTCAGGTCTGGACTTTGACTTGACCATTCTAACACCTGGATATGTTTATTTGTGAACCATTCCATTGTAGAATTTGCTTTATGTTTTGGATCATTGTCTTGTTGGAAGACAAATCTCCATCCCAGTCTCAGGTCTTTTGCAGACTCCATTTTACACATTGTTTGACAAATCAAATGAAAATGGGACAAGATGTGGAGTCTCTCTGCTATCCAACATCCACTGACCCAAATTACATTAGTATAGAAACCTCAGGAGGGAAGTCATGGAAACAGATTTCCATTCAAGTGCATGTTAGGTGTGTTTTAACAGTCAGAGAGTTTGTTGTAGGTAGGCAACGTGTGTAAACACAGCTGTTACGTGTTCCCCCTTAGTAGATCAACAGACCTATTAAAGTTTTTTAATTTAGATAATGAGGAAAACAGATATAGTTTTCAAACACAACATTACAGAAAACTCATCACCTTTTCAAATGGTATTGTGCCTGGGCCATGCACTGAACCCAGCAGCTAATGCAGTGAGAGCTGCCTTGTACTGAAAACCCCTTCAGTCGGCTAAAGCTAGCTTTGGAATGGAGGCCATATCTTCTACAGTTTGTCACAACCAGGCTTCATTGTCGCTTTTAATACATAGTACTGTCTGATGCTTCCTTTTTATAACTGTTGATTCTGTGTAATTCGTGTGTTTGTGTTCATATGTTGTTTTATTCCTCTATTGATATTATTTATTTTAGTTCTAGCAAGTACCAACTGCTCATGGCCATCAAAATCTGCCTAGCACAAAAACCAAGTGCTCTGATTCTATCTACATATTCAATTCATGTTACGATCACAAATATTTAAATGTAATACTCAGTCAACAATGATAGAGATGTTTTAAAGCTTCATCAAAAAAATGTCAGTCACCATCTATGTCAAGTCCATCATTAAAGATAATCATCTATTCAAATGATCATTCAGCTAGTGACAATGGAAAAATAAAAATACAAGCTTAAACTTCAGACATTACTATTTGCATTACTATTTTTAGATATAGTGTATATGCTTCTGTCACCAGCTTACACACCCTGCAAAACATGGCTGTAACTAGCTGTCTGGAGGCCCAAGCCAAGTGTCACTGAGTGGCATGCATATAGCTGATCTAGCATTAAGCCAGCCCACCACTCCCCCATACTCCTCATCTCCTGTCAGGGGCTGCACAAGAGGGAAAAGCAGCCTCCAGAGGATCCGCATAAGAGTAGAGCAAAATGTATCATCATGTGCTATGATAGGTCTGGATAAGCATCTGGTGAGGGAAACACAAACATTCCCATAGAGACCCCTTTCCCTTTCCAAACCCACCCAGAGTAAAATAAAATAAACCAGCCACCCTGAGCTTGGCTGACATAGCATAGGCTGGAGGTAACCCGAGCCCTATTTCCCACCCGTCTACTAACTCTGCCAGAACTCTTTGAATGAAGTTTTACTGTGTCATTTAATTAGTCCAGATGTTTTATTGCTTGAAGAGAGACAGACTGTAAAAAGATATCCATAAAAACACTACATGTATACCGAGTGAGAGTGATGGGAGGGGTCTTGATTTATGATTTAAGCAGCAGAGTTTAGCCTTTCAATCATTCACAAGTTTCAAACTAAAGGTTGGATTTCCATTGACACTTTTATTTAGATTTCTGTTACAACTTGTTAAAATACCCAGATGCATTGAACACAAGATATTTTCTATTCTATGAAAGACAGAATATGTATAATTTTGTATAAAATATTTGGGTTGAAGGTTTTTCATTTTTACTCATCAAAATGTTCAGCTTAAAAAAAAAAATCAATAATTATGAATAGGAACCCAGGAGTGTATCTCTAACACAACCTCATTTTGCAGGGTTTGGCCTAAATTACAACAAATTTAGTATTTTTGATCTGTAATAAATTTGGATTTATTGCATTGTTGCACACTAGTTTGTTTTAAAGATAGTCAGACAGCGTATTTTAAGGTTTCTGTAGTAGCCTCTACATTCTTGAAAAAAAGAAAAAAGGTTCTAATCAATCGATCCTGTGGTGTTGTGTGTTATTATTGTAACTTCATAGAAAAGGCAGTCTGCTAAATGCTGTATAGTGCTAGTCTCGCACAGGTGGAACTGTGGAACGTAAAAGGTTTTAAGCTGTGAGTTACCTTCTCAGTTTATGAAACCAATGATAACACAAGCTGCTACAATAGAGAGATGTCCATATCGTACATCTGAATGGCCAAGAGTCGTATCACTGGCTTTAACACTTTTAGATAAGACTGGTAATTTTATTATAATACCAATTAATTTAACCTAATGTTACTTTTGAATGATGCTTTTTGTTTTTATTTAGTGTAATGAACAGTATGTTAAAATGACAGCATGCAGAGTGGAAGAAGGATTCGGATGAAAAAGTCCAAGCAGGACTATAACGGTTCCCTACTTAAACATGGCAAGCAGCCAAAAGAGAGACATGTGGCAGGGATGCGAGTGGTTTAGCAGTTGCAAAATCTCCAGCATAATCCTCCTCCTCCCCAGGAAAGCTGTTATTTATGGCCTTATGGATTTTTACCTAATTTTCTCCTAAATAAAAAGCAGGAGATAAGAGAGGAGAGGAGAGGAGAGGAGAGGAGAGGAGAGACCTTTGACCTTTAACTATACCTCTAATAAATAAACATTCATTTACAGTAAAACCACAGAGGAAAATAAACACATAAATAAAACCACACCTACACATCCTCAATCCCGATAACTGACATTCTGTCCAAAAAAATAAGGTGAATGACCAACTTCATTCATTCAGAAATTCAACAAGGGAATCTTGCAGGACATGATACATTTCCAAATCCCCAGATAAAAACAAACTTCTCTAAATTTGACATCATGATATAATATATAAATGCCGACTTTGAGACGTGCAGACACTAGAGCCCTGAACAACAGCTCAGCATTTGAACACCCTGTCCCTTTCACTTTGATCCCCCTAGCGAGACAAATGCTCATTTTTGCCAGACCTACTAAAAGATTTGGCAAACAGATCCATCTACGCTGTGTGGCACTGTATCTGGGACCAAACATAAAGACCATGTCATCAAACACCTGTCCTAGACCATTCAGCCACTCCTTTAGAAAAGAAAAGAGAGGAATCAACCTGGGACAGCTGAGTCAAAGGTGCTGTAAGGTCTCCTCAGCTACACAGAAGAGAAGAGAAGAGAAAATTCACCAGTCTGGACAGTGCGTGTACAGAATTGAGCAAGAAAACAGCTATAATCTTGAATGCAGTGACTACAACACAGCAAAGTCTGTTTAAGGCTTTGTTGCACTGATGCCAACTATAGCCTGGCAGGCGACGTCACATTGGAAAACATTTGAAACAAGCTAAACACAGCCACTAAGAAAATCCAACAAAGATGCCAGCACTGGCAAAGACTCAGCATGACAAATAAACACGCAAGTACCTCACAGCTTTTAGCTACACCAGCCTGGTCAAAATATGCACAGAATGCACACAGATGACATCTCATTAAAGAAAAAAAAAGAAACTAAGTAGCCAAATCACAACACCAAACATGTCAAAAATGTACTGTTATTAAACTGAAAGCCAAGTAATGCTTGGCTGGCATGTAAATTTGCCATCTAGGAATGCCAAATCCACTGCAAAACACTTTCTTATCACAAAGTGAATGAAAGAATGTAAACATAGCTGTGGATCACCAACTGAACAGCTCATTGTCCTCTTTTGCATAGCTAGACTCATTTGTATTCAGTATTCCAGTCTGCGAAACCATTTCTGGTGCATACATTCCCATCAAACCGCCCACCTAGTGCTGTGATAGTACTGTAACAACCAACAGGTTCCTTTTTAAGCACAATTATAAATCATTTCCAATGCCAGTGGCAGGTAACACAGGACTGCCAGATTCTCAAGACAGAAATGCAACTGCATCTTAAAATTAAGGAAATAATCAGGGGAAAAAAATTGAGGCAGGCATCAGTCTGCAATCTCTAAACATGAGGCAAGCCACTATGATCTCAAAATAAAACAGATTCATAAGTACACAGACCTGTTTCTTGCGAAGCTTGCAGATCTGCTGCTCCACCATGGTGATCTCCCTGTCCACACGGTCCATGTTCTGGATCAGCTCCTCCTTGGAGAAGCGAGCCGGCACCAGATCCAAGTCGGGGTCCATATGGTCCGGGCTCACCGGGGAGATGGGCTCTATCTTGCCCATGGTACTCCCACGCTCCTACAACAATAACAAGGTGGATATAAAGCATATATACAATCATGGCTATCACCATTTTCAAATTTACAGTGTAGTAAAAGTCAAGCAATAAAATCCTTTAATATAAAGGAAGGGAAGAGAAGAACAAGGACAAAAAAGGATTTCATGTGGGAGGTATTCAGTGTTTGGGTAAAACTTTATTGAGGGCAGGTCAGTGCAAGCCGAGGTAGCTGACATACCACAAAACATAAAGAAAAATATCTTGATATGAACTTGCACATGTCCATTTCTTCTCTTTCCTGTTGAAAACATCCCTGCCTTGAATTGAATGCAAGGTTACTCTACAAGTAATCGTCCGAACACAGTCTGTGTATCCTTTGGGAGGGTAACATACACCAGTAATTAAGTCCTCTGGGTAATGAAAGCCAGTGCAGTGTCTCGGTGTCACTAGACCACACTAATGAATATGAGGTCACAGCCTCCCTCACCATGATTATGCACCAGAGAACTGGCAGCTGGCTCTGCTTGTTTGAAATGTGAACAACTCTGAAGGGTAGCACAACGTGTGCAGATCAAACTCAGGAGATACTTATTAGCCATGTCTGCTGGCAAAAAAATGGAAATATGCATCTGTCAATCAAACGATACGCAGTGCAACTTATCAACTGAGCAGCCGTACTGATGAGAGTGGGGAGAAGCGATTCGTCAAACCACAGATATTTCCAAGCAAGTCACTGCTTCACACTGCTCTTCTGCTTCACCAGAAAATATAAAGCCCTCTTCAGTTCTGTACTGGGCCATCTCAGGTTTAAATAACAGCTACCACAATGAGCAGAAATGCATGTTTCCATCAACTACTGTTATGTGCATTATTTTCCAATTGAGTGCCATTAAGCCACTGCAGAGGAATAACTGTTTAATGTATTAATTTGAGAAACATTAGTCTCCTCACTGGTCCACACGGATCTGGTGTTTTCATCTCCTGCAGTTTTAAGTCTCCCAGGGGTATACTGAAACCTGGATTCAGTGCCACCACTCAGCCGTTCAGCCAACATTCCCCAGCGGCCACTGGCAGGACAGCAAAGAATCCCCCTGTGGCCCAAAAAGCATCTTCTCCATAGACCACAATGCTAAAAGAGACGTCTGTAAAACCATTGACAGGACACCTCGAACTATAACGAGGTCAATTATCACTCTTTGTATTATGAAGTTTTAATCCATTGAGGTTTTATATTTGTAAAACTTTCCCAAAGCCTACAAAACAGTTTTATTTTTGTGCTATCACCCTAATGTAACATTTATGTGCCAAGTGTGTGGGCAGCAGGGGAAACATTAATGTGCATGTGTAGTGGGCTGCACAACACAGAAGCAAAACCGAAATAAATTGATGGGAAAGAATGAGTGCCATGTTTCAGTCTGGAATCTAGGTTTTATAATACAACAATTGGCAACATTTCAACTACACGTCTTATTTTCTGCATTTCAACTGTGTTTCTTCTTATGCAAATAGAAAACGCACATAAAAACAGGTGCACTTATAAAAGAAAACAAAGAAAATATCCTGGAGATGAATCTAGCCCATGCTACTGTTAACAAGTGTTATATGCGCCACACATTATGGTTATGACTGTGAAAGCTGGGTCCACCACCTCATGCATTTCTGAACAGAGTAAACTATTGTAGTTACATTTGAAACGTCATACCAGACTAACTTCATCCAGTCATCAATAGTTGACAAGAGTCCAGCTGTATACCTTCAGTGGCTTACCAGGGACAGGAGAGGTACTCTACAAAATGCTCTACCATCACATAGAGGAAATGATGAGGCATGTTTCTTCTCAACGTTATTTCTCCAGACAAGAACAGGATCTTAACATTTGCCCATCCGTGTCATGTGTTCCAGTCCACATGTACATCTGAATATGTTCTCTTCAAAATGCCCAACACACATAAAAATGCCTTGTAAAGCAAGTGTGGAAATTGAGTTGCTGCTACATGCACCCGTTTATATAACAACAAGAATGCATGAATATTGAGAGCTCTGCAAGGGCAGGATTAATCTTTTTCTGATTAGTGAGCAAATGTGTGTTCCTGCTTTATGTATGTACTTTACTGCATTGGAGGCTTTCTACAGTTATATCCTCATAAATGACCGACTGTGTGGGTTTTGTTCTGTTATTTTTAAACATCCAAAATGACAGTTATGTAAATGGGATAATCTGGCCTAGGTAAGTAGCATTATAACTCTGTAGACCTGCTGTGAGTGAAAATGTCAGTGCCAGAGGGAAATTGCCACTAAAGGATATGCTGCGATTTTGACTAGGGCATCTCCTGTTCATTATTACAGGAGCTTTTCACACCAAACGTACCTCTGTTACTTTAGCTGTGTGCTGGTAATGACATTTCTGAACTGTCATTTTCTTCTGACGCAAGCTCAAAGAGTGAAGTGCGTGCAAGATGTTTAGAATGTGTGTGTTGCCAGGAGCGATTTAATGGTGTGACAAAGTTATCAGATCTAAAGTAGTCTAAACTCTAAGACTAAGACGACACTTTCCTTTGTTCTAATTATCAGTACAACAGCACATCCACCGACTTGTGACATAATATGAAAAGGTCACGGGTCAAGAGCTAAGCTACTGGCCCAGCACAGCTTACAGCGGACATGCCCTCGACAACCTGGGTCATATTTAGAACATTCCACAGCATGTCTCAGGTTGTACATGTATCAGGTTTTATTTAAATTACCTCTGGGTGTTGTTGCCTGTTCGTGTAAATGTGGTAAGTTTAGTAACCACCAGCCTGTGTGCCTGGGTCATCTGGGTGTTTGCATTCCAGACACCAGCTGAATAAAGCTGGAGACATCCTGTTTTCATGCTATAATGTGCATTTAAGTTGACAACAGTCTCACTGGTTTGAACACCAAGCCAACTTTTATGTTGAGTACAAATTAGCAGGTGCATAAAGCTACTGAAACAGAGGAGACTGAAGTAGGATTTTCTTAGGTTTCAAGGCTGAATCTCATTAAAAAAAGGGAAAATAACAGAAGATAAAACAGCAGCAGAGTAAAAGTGGCCTCAGCAAGGCTATATTATAAAAATAAATAATAATAATAATAAAAGTAGGAGTAAATGAGAGAAATTGGGTGGGGCAGTACAAAAAATAAATTGTTTTATTAGTTTATTTAAATTTGCAAAAGAAAATGTAAAAAGGTAATTAAAAATATCTGAATTCAAACATCATCTACAAGAATGTGGCTTAAGCTTTAAGCTCCAGCACTACACAGCATCTATGTTGCTTCAGTGACATAAAACATTTCACTACTGTTTTATGCCCTGATGAACATTAAACTCAAAACTCTAAGCACTACAGAATCCTTGTCACCACTTTCTGGACGTTAACAGTAAAGTTTAGGCCAAAGTGTGCTGACTACTGATGTGTGTCGGTGCCTGGTCACTGAACAACCTGTGCCAGTAAGGTCATCTGTACACCAAAAGAAAGGACAAGGGCTGGTGGAAGGTGCTCAGCCATGCATGTCACATGCAGTCTGCAATGTAGTTCATATAGTCTCGCTGAACCATTGTGAATTCCACTACTTAAATACCAACTAATGTGTTGTTCCTAGGGTGATTAAGTGTGCACATAAAAAGTGAACCCCGAGTTTAAACTGTTTCTCACAATGCCATATAATGTATGGCTCAAATAAAGAATCTCCACACTCAAGTTTCACTTGTATCCATTTTCCTCACACACGCTGTGTTTTTCTCTCTGACTTTACACACTGCTCTAGCTCACTTTATTTAATGAAAGACTGAGATTTCTGCTCACCAGACCAGAGACAGAGGACAGGGGAAAGTTAGAGCATGATGATGAGAGAAAAGGGAGAACAGGAAGACTAAGGACACTGACACAGCTCAAGAAAGGAGAAGATGACAAATCACACCAATGGTTCAGAGAATTCCTTAAATTGAAGCAGAGTGATGAAATGCAATTTGAGGTAAGAATAGGACAAAGTAATCAGTAGGAACTACCGGTAAGTACCACCCCCACCCCCCATATAATCCAAGGTCTCTCTGGTGGTCAGTTTCAAAACTAGCTCAAAGGTAACTGTACATTTCTGAATTGCAATTTGGTGTTATTCACTGGCCAGCAAACATGCTGATAGTAATATATTTGTCAGAACCTAATTTTGACCATTTTGCTGCCATTCAAACTGGCTCATTTATCAGGTTATAGGAAGGTCAGCTAACTCACACAGACTTATTCACTTAGGCCACAGACCGCACATTTACTGTTTTGATTTAAATTGGGTATTAGGTCACACATAAATTTCCATAATGGTACTTCTGCACTGCTCACTTTTTAAGCCATACATGGAAAGTGTGACATGCATGGAATTTTGTGAGACCACCCTTGTGAGGACGAACACTCCAAGTCTGTCACTGCAATGTGATCTTTTTTTATCTCTTGTTTTAAACCACTAATATCAGGATAACCGCACAATGGTGTACAGTAACAAATGTTGCTTTTGTCCTCCTCTGACTCACTATCCATATGAGTCACAATATAAGCACCAGTTTAGTCTGATACTACTGGCCTACTCCCTCTTTTCCTGTTGGTCTTTGTCACTTACTCCTCCCTCTCCCCCCTTTTTGTACCTCTTGCATGCCCTTTGCCTCATTTTTAGCTGCACGTCGCCCTCTGTCCCACTGTCTTTTGGTGCACTTGCTCTATGTAATGATTGCATTTGACATGACTTAAAATAATATTACTAATATTAAAGTATTTATTCAGATTTTCATGAAGGTAGACAGCAGGGTATATCACACTATTCTGAACAACTGAATCATTTCAACCTATCCTTAGCATTCTGTTGTCTGTTGTTATTCATAGCCACATCAAGTACAGAGTATTTGTTGTCTGCTTTTTGACCATCTTGCTGGAATTTACACTAAACTGTATTTTATACCGACTACTGACCTTTGTCATATCTTCAGCCCCTCCTAGAGGCACTGCTGTCCGGTGGGAGGAGGGCCTCATCAGAGACTCTGGTCCCATGTCTAAACGAGGACGTTTGATCTCTGCATACTCCGCCTCTGATTGGCTGCTGGGATCTGGTAAATAGATGTGCTCATAGCGGATATGCTGCTCTTGTCCTCTGTAACAGAAAAACACAAAAAGTAGCATATTAAAAACAAGTAGAGAAAGCTACTGAAAGACATAAATGCACCATAAGCTAGAGGCAGCAAATTATTAATATAGGGCTTGTGACAGGAAGCCTTGCTCAATTATGAGTTTCTAATAAAACTGATGACGGTAGAAGTGCTTAATTTATAAACAGTACTGGTGTCTTCTGTCAGGATTTTAGCCATTACTAAGTCCTTCAGTCCAACATAATGGTCCATTCCAGACTGAATCACAGTCATGCACACCAGAGGATGACTCATAATAACTCTGATGACATTATGGTCAGTAACATTTCATTCAGGAAACTTCAAGGACCTTTGACCAAATTAGCTATTAGCCTCAGCTGTACCCTGAAACATCACAAGATGGAAACTGTTAGCATGGTAAATATCAGCATGTTAAAACCCTGCTCAGTACAGCTGAGGCAAATGAATGACAGCTTACAACAAAGACTGAGCCAAATCTGATCACGTAGGAGGGAGAGACTAGCCCCAGGAAAGAATTAAAGGATGATAAGGACCATGTGTGAAGCTAGACGATTTGATTTTTGAGATTTTTAGCCTGAAAGAGGAAACCAGACCTCAGGAGCAGAAAACATACCTTCAAAGCAAGAGGAAGCAAACAAAACAGAATGAGATATACTCAATTAAATCAACAGACAAAAGATTATTTTTTCTTTCAGTTCTATGGAGCAAGTGAAATTGATTTCCCATTTTATATTATCTATAATGTGAAGTAACACTGAGACAATATTGATCTTCTGAGCAATGGATGAGGCTTGGAGCTAGTTTTGCTTGCGCCTGATGGCCGAATGAAATCCCATTCATACAGGTTGCATTTAACCACACAAAGACACATTTGTACAAAAACACAAAATGACAGTTACAGCATGAGATCAGGCTGACCTAAATCTTTACTATTGTGTTTAAGGCACACATAAACATCAGTTGGACTGCTTTTGGTTCAAACACCATCATCAAAAAAATTATCGCTGAAAACCACTTTTTCTGCAAACTGGAAACAGATAATGGGTCTCTCACTAGTGGAAAGTGAAAAGAAATGGCAGCAAGAAAATTGGAACTGGTGACTCACTACAACACTAGCATCTAATGGTTTTAAATATAGCAGCCTATAGTGAAGGCACTCTCATGTGGGGCAGTCAGTGCCATACACAAAGCCAAAAAAGCACTTTGCTTAGACCTGCAGTAGGAACTACGTATATCACTCCCTAATAAGCTAATAATGCTAATATATACACAGGCTGCACCAACACGGATGTTATAATATGATCTGTAGTATGTGAGGCGTTAGTATAAACCTCTTTCAGCATGTGAACATCATTAATAAACTGGGAGGAAATATCCAGCTACAAGCTAGAGTACACCTTTAAAGCAGGCACTCGGTGTGTAGACAAATGAGAGCTTCTGAACATTAACTGCACTAGCCACACTTAAATCTAGGAAATTTTATTAGCCCGCTTGTGACTAGCTCTGTTCTTTCTGAGGGAATGGTTTTCTCTGGTCTGTCCTGGAGGCAGATGCCAGAATGTCAGCGACTTTGCTGCCAATGTCAAAATGGAAGTGGCAAAGTGGAAGAAGAGGGAAAACATAACCATAATTGCTAGTGCAGGCTGACAATGGCCTAGTGTGTGGTTTCTTTATGTGCCAAAGAGTCTGTCTCTGCTAGTAGTATGCTGGTAGGCTAGTGTAACAATCAAGACCATCCTCTGACTAGAGCAGAGATTTACAAAGGCAGGTCATTATACTGTGTGTCATGCCACTTAAGTAATATGCAGGCTAAATCTGCTTGTCAAAGGATGTCACTGCCAGAGAAAAAAATTGACTGTGAATGTTCTGATTGCATGCCTAAACACTACCTTTGAAAATGGGAGACCAAAATTATTACCCAGATGGTGTGCAACTACTCCCCCTAAACACATTTCGCTCACTCATTCAGTCACACACTTCCTCATCTCCACAGAGGGATGGCACTTACATAATCACATCATCAAGCTCT